AACAGAAAAGTAAATTCCAGTTTTAAAATTTGAATTTCTGTCGAAAAATTTGAATATATATATCATATAACAAATATATAGACTAGCTACAAGTACCTTATTATACAGTCACATGGCAACCACGATGAGGGAGTAAGAAAAATTGCAATATCTAAATAGCGCCAAAGAATAAGACAGATCTTGAACAGCCAGCTCAATAGGAAGAACAAAATCCGCTCCAAAAATATTTACGCTCTGCAATATTTACTGTGTGGACAAAGACATGGAGACTGTCGATGTGAAGACTCGAAAACTCCTCATAATGCGCAGAAGTTTCGATTCCAAGTTTAATACCCAAAGACTATTAGTGAATATCAAAGCCACTATCTTGAATGAATAAAACTCGAAACATTGAGGACTACATCAGCAAGATGGCACCTAAGGATGAACTAAGAGAATACTCGACAGACAGAAGTATCTACAAACATTGGGAAGAGACCAAGCAGAGGAAGTATGGCCAATACCATGGCCATGGCGAGTACCATGGCGAAGTAAGACTTCATAGGATGTACCATGGGACAGATAGTTGACCCTGAGAAATTCTATCAGTGGTTAGAAAAAGATAGACTAAAACATAGTAAGAGCAGATAAACACCAGATTCACTGAGAAGGAATCTACCACATTATACAGGGCTCAAAGTGCAAATTGTGCAAAAAACCTCAAAAATTTTCTGTAGTGGCATATGGATATAAGATGCAAGCAGAAAAAAGACATTGAACGGCATGCCCAAATAGGTAGGAGTATCTGCTCAATATCTCAGAAGAGTGAAGAATAAGATCAAGGTAGAAATGTGAGATCCATCCAGACAGATAAGTAATCAACTAATCAACCAGATATCGAGGAAGTACCATCAGCACTGGTGATAGATATAAACGTTAGAGAGAAGAAATATGAGAAATTAGAAAAATGCCAGGCCAAGGATTGAAAGAGGAACTATAGAAGAGTGGAAACTAAAGGCCAAAGTAGTTCAAATGATAATTGGATCACTAGAAAAATAACTTTGCATATTCCACGAACAAAATCAGAAGTCTTCAACCAGAACACAGTGCACTTCTAGGAAAAGCCAAGACGATCTGCGGCTAAAGATGACGCTTACCATCCATAGAGAGTGAGAAAGAGAATTTTTTTTTCAATTTCCGACATTAATTGTCGCCAAACGTATATGCAAAAGCTACTTTGTAGTATGAAAAGAGAAAATAAAACGAACCAGGAGAACCAGGTCTTATAAACATTGATAGATCAATTAACGAAGAGTTGGCTCGAAAATACAGTCAGCTCAGAGTGATGCGTTGAAGTTAGTGGCATGCGAATCAGCAAAGGAATTCGAATATTATGTATGTAAGGACGACATTCATAAAAAGCCAATTGTCTTCTTAGTTGCAACCAGCTGCTCCAGATCAAAGAAACCCGAAGTTCTCTTTCCTTCCAAACTATTTTATCTATTTTAATCCTACTTCACTTTGTTTTGTTGCTAAAAGCCTGGTCTCTCCAACCTACTCATGAAACACTGGCACTTCACATACAACGCGAAATGCTGACTCTCGCACTCGCAAGGTGGAATCGAACCACTCCGGCGCTAACCGGCTACAAATGAAAACGAAAATACTAGCGTGGCTGAATGAAAAGATAAAAAATCCGTTAGCGAAGTCAAAAAGAGTGGAAATTGACCAAAAGCCAGCCCAAAACTAGCTTTTACTAGCTTCGCCTTTGGCGACAATAATTATTAATAATAATAAAAATAATAATAATAACAATAATAATTAATAAAAGTAATAAATAAATGGCAACGATAATAATAGTGATAATAATAATAACAATAATAATGATAATAATAACAGTAATATTAATAATAGTAATAGCAATGATAATAGTAATAATAATAATAATAGTAATAATAATAATAATAGTAATAATAATAATAGTAATAATAATAATAGGAATAATAATAATAGTAATAGTAATAGTAATAACAACAAACAATAACAGACCAGCAATAAAGTACGATAATTGACCATATAATGAATACGTAAAATTGATGTCTTTTCATTTTATTGTTTATTGTATTAAATTTGATTTAATTTTTTTTTTCTCAAATGATGGAATTCAAAACAGAAGCATCAAAGATCTGAAAACGACGCTTCACCAACAAACTAAACGAATTTTTTGCCTCTCTTTTCATTCTCCTTTTCTGCTTTTTCCATATCCATTATGTGGTCAGCTATCGTATTTCATTGCTGTTCTGTTATTGTCTATTACTGTTATTTCATTGTTGTTATTGCTGTATTTTTTTTTTAAATTATTTCCTTTTTTTCTGTGATAAAATGATAATGTCCGAGGTGAGGTTCTTAATGAAATTGACCGAGTGATGAGCGCGCGAGTTCTGGCTTTTTGACATGCGACTTCTTCCTGACAGGAGGAAGCGGTGGATTCCACATATCTTTTATTAACTTCTACCAAGTGGAAGAAGAAATTCCAGTCCGGACAGCAGCAGATAATAATGCCCCGTTTCATCGGCGAACCCTATAAAGAAGCGGGCGAAATTAAAATCTATTTAACTGCAGAAGCTACAATCTTCTACGAAACATTGTCAATGAGAGCTGAAAATACCAGGAACATATCATTGATGCCTAAGGCATATTTGTGCACTAGCAGTTAGAATTTCGCATAACTCTATTCACTTTCAAATACCACCATATTGTCCTATAGTCTTCTTACACTGGTTAGGCCATGTTCTTCACGGCTTCAAGAATCGGCATATATCTCGCTACTAATGTGGTGGAGGAGGATATTAGAAGCGAGTACGATCAATCAAGGCTTCGACTGACACGTTCCGAATGGACTTCAAACGCATACGCGGCTTCAATATATATGAGCTTGGACAGTGAAACAATAGTGGTTTCTATAATTTTGGCAGAGAATAGAAATAGGTGGAAAAGCCAAGCCAAAGCTAATCTAATTAGCAATGGCGCGAGATTTTAGAAGAGAAACAAAAAGATTGCCGAGCATGGTAAAACTCCGAGCCATGAGCGATGAGTCCAGAAGTTCTCATAGAAGGAAAACCTTCTTCTTAACCATAGACCTAGTGAAAACTTACGCTCATCTACGCTCCCAATGAAAAAACAAAAAGAAATTGATTTAATTGAAGTTCATAAGAAAAACAACCAAAGATGAAACTGACCCAATAAATCAAGACAGCCATAAGCTTTTTTGTAGATAAGACAGTAGGATGAAAAATCCAAAAGCGGCCGCACAACGTATTCTCCCTACTGCAAGCGCCGCTCTTGGTTTGGACACCACTCACTACCAGTATTAAGATCCCTTCGCTAGAAAGTCATTCGGGAATAGAATTACGGATAGCGGATAGCATCACTCTGTTTAATGTATTACACCCAATTTTCCTTTCCTTTTTTTTTCAAAATTGATACAAATGCTATAACTTTCATGTTCTTAAAGCAATCCATATTTCTCAATTAATGACCAATTAATAGCCAATGACCAATATCAGTTCGACATGATTATTTTGGGCAATATGAATATCTAAAATGGATATCTGGTTCTTGTTCCTTGAAATAATTAAAGAAATTGTCGCCGGATTCCTAAAACTGCGACATATTTTGTTAACGCTTTAACACTTTTATACCTTTAAGCACAGAAGAATGAATATTCTTTTTACTAGAAAAAAAAATGAAGAAAAAAATATTACATTTATTCACAATAAAATAACAATGAGAAACCCGCTGATACAAATCAAATTTACAATATTTTTAAAACAAAATGACTTAAGGAAAATTTCATAAATTTACATAAAAGTAATAATTACAAAAATAATCATATCGATTAACAAATATTTCACTTCAATTTAAAATAATTCAAAATCAGTAATCGCCTAAATCTTTTTTAATATGAAATATTAAACTGAGTAAACAAAAAAATAAATATAAATAACAAATAAAAAAGAAAATGAAAAATCAATAACAAAAATTGTTTGCGTATTTGATGTTTAGAATGATTCTTGCACAGCTTCCTTTTCCTCCTTCTAGCTTAATTTTTTTAAAGAAAACATGGAATAAACTAGATTATGAAATAATGAAACTAAAAAAACCATTGTTTCATGAATGATCGAATTTTTCACTAAAATCTTTCTTTCCTGAAACATAGTTTCTCATTAAAATTATCAAAACAAATTAAATAATGCTAAAAATTTCCATCCTTTCTTACAAATTGTAAAAGTACCAATACAATTAAAAACATGATCAAAAAAGGAGAAGAAGCAAATATCATGTGAATCAGGAAAACATCAACGGCAGAGATAATCATGTGAATAGAACAGGAAAAAAATAAAACCATCGAAGCACAAAGGAAGCATAATAAATGCTTTACGAAAAATATTTAAAAAATTCAGCAAAAAACAAAGCAATAAAAAAATATAATATACTTAGGACTAAATACGTGAAAGAATCCATTATATAATCGATCATTCGTCGCCGTCGCCATCCTGGCGACCTAACATCTTTTTGCTTAAAAGTCAAAAACTTAATATGCTTAAAAAAAGGAAAATATTAGAAATAAGCGATGATTTCAAATGGTAATTCATCAATAACCGCGAAAAATTTCTGGTCTGTGAGGTTCTAGATCGAAAAAATTCCCAGCTTCAAATCCAGTGATAACCTTGAATAGCGTGAAAGAAATATTTTTAAAAGATTTATTTTTTCACCTAAATCTTATAAAATTAAAATACTTCAAATTAAAATTAAAGTTCTATTTTTTTCCCTTTCACGCTATTAAGCCTAAAATCGCAAAAAAATAGGAAATAATAATCTTTAGGAATCACTGAAAAATTCTTTAGCGAAAAAACAAACTAATAATTCGAAGAATTTTTTCATTCAACTACACAAAAAAAAAATCAATAAATTTATACAAATTTCTACTAAAATTTATATATATATATATCTATATAAGTCTAATGTCTTAAAATTTTTTCTACATCGCGATATGTTGATGATGGTGAAGCAAGTTGTTGATTATTATCACCATCACTATTAATATCAATACTGTCATTAACTGCAGCACTAATTATCGTATGAATAGAACTGTCCTCTTTCGGACTGTTAATATGATGAGATGGCAAATTTAAATTATTTGAAAAACCATCATCATTATGACGATTATCTTTTCGGCGGAAACTGCCAGTTATCCACCTTTTTGAATTTGTACAGTGACAACTATCCATTGAAGAATGCCGTTCAGTGCCAGTAACTGTATGCAAGCGATTCCGCCAAGAGTTAACGTAAGAACCACTGCATGATTCTTGATTTGTTACGGACGAACAAGAAAATGATGAATGTACATCAAATGGATTACAATTCGGTGGAGGACGTACCCACCGGCAGCTATTTTCCGCGTCGATTAATGGAATCTTGAAAAAAATAAATTTAAAATCAAAAAAATGGAATTTTTGAATGGAATTTTTAAAAAGTTATAATTAATAGAAACAAAAAACATCTAAAAATCAATCAAAATCAAAAAAGTAATTTGCAATCCTTCTCGAAAAAACTTTCCGAAATTCTGAAATTCTGACATGATAGTCAATAACAAAACTTTAAATAAAAATGAACAAACCATGATAATTTAGTATCGCACTGAATACAAAAATTTCCAATAACGAGAAATTAAGGGAAGAAAGAGAACAAAATAAAAAAGAACTGAAACGATCAAAAATAGTAAAATGAAAAAAAATGGAATGATCAATCAAAAATGATTAAAGTATTACTTTGATTCGCCTATCGTCTTCACCGTCATCCAAGTGTATAGTAATTGGAAAAGATGTTTGCGATGGTGAAATATTTTTATCAGTCACATATTTGCATGTCGTTTCTACAAAATTTATATAATGCAAAACAACATGAAATGAAAACAAAGAAAAAAAATGCAAATAAAATAGGAAAAATCAAAAATTGATTGTGTCGATCAAAACAGCACCAACATTTTGACATATTTCTTATAATTTTCGTCATATGTAACATTCCATAAAAAAAAAGTACACTTACTGTTGTGTGGTGCCTTATGATGAACAGATGCTTGCGATCCTCCGTTTTTACAATATTCGCATTCGTTCGCTGTTGTTATTTCCGTTAAAAATGTCGAAGAGCTTGGCTCATTTCTCAAACCGATTATTCGTTGCGCTAATGAATTTATTTTTGCCCTTCAAATATTAAATCTTATATAAAGTGAAAATTTAAAAATGTTTCCTTTTAGAACTACATATTTAAACTTCTAATAAACAAAAAAACCATACGAAATTATATATATATATCCTATAAGGGAAAATAATAAGGGAAAAAAGTCTGCTCAACATCAGTTGGATTTAGTTGATGCTAATAAACGAAAAATTTATTTATTTATAAAACCAAAGCTATATTTTTAAAAATAAGATAAAAAATAAACAAAACTATATTTCCAGAAAACAATGCTTTAAAAAAAACAATGCTTTTACGACATTTTTCTTCGCAAATCAATTCGCAATGTCGCAGCAAGCAAACAAGCCTTCTGCCTTTCTTTTTTTACCATTCTCATTTTGATGTTTAAGACATGTTTTAAAAAAAATGGAGCAACATAAACTAGATTTATTAGACATCATGTCTGCTTGGTAATATGATAAGCTCTCTACGTAAACAAAATCAAATAATTTCCCAATCCTTTTTTTCGCAGAATTTTCTCTCGATAAAATTACAACAACTATGTGTTCATGATTTTACACAGTAAATTAACATTCTTTCCTCATCTTTTTTATTCGTTTTGAGCATTAAAATCAAAATCGAAGCTTTATATAATCGTCTTCTAATTAAGGTCACATTTAAGGATAAAATATAAGCGTTGTCCTCAGCATTACTCGCAATTCGCTTCTGATATCATATGTGCTCTTCGCTCAAGGAATCGAACCCATGGCGCTTGACCTCTGTCGAAGAACTATACCACTCCAAGCATTTTTTCTCTTAATGGCGATATTAAAGATATATTAAAGTACAAAACTTCGATTTTCATAATTATTCATATATATATATATATATATATATGAATGTGTTCATCTGTTCATCCTTTTACCAGCCATTTCTACTTAAACTAGGAACTAATGCGTACCAAACTTTCCAATATTAAGCGGTGCTAAATTATGCATTCTTATTTTCACCAAACCATTCACCATTTCTCTTTTGGTTAACCTCATGATTATTAGAATGAGAAATTTCCATGATCACTCGCTTGGGCAAAGAAGTATAATTCGATGCACAACATCAGCATTCAATTTTCGATTTTAATGACAGTTTACACCCCAGTAATTTGAGCCTAATCGAAGTAACATACCAGTCGACTAATGTCTTTTTATGAATCTTATTAATCTCGATTCGAAAGAATATTTTAAGAAAAATCCAACTACTAATCTTGACCGAATATTTAACAGCTATGTCGCAAGATTTTATACCTGTATATCTGCATCTAAAATATATTTCTCCTAAAATAACCATGAAATTTCATTTTTTCGTATAATCCAGCATCAATGATAAAAGGACTAAAAGGATGATAAGATGAGATAAATTTCAGCTATCAACCTTTGCCACCAATTTGAACACTTTTTTTCTTGTAAATCCGTTTAATTTCATCAAGAAGTTTCCAATTTTTTTCGAAAGCGAAAATTTTAAACAGAATATTTAATCTGTTTAACTTTTAGCTTGAACATACACTATTTCACTTAATCATTACCTAAATTCCCTTTAATTCTTTAATTCTAAAAAAATTGAATAATAAAAACTTTTGCTACAAACTAACTGAAATATAAAAAATATATTATTATAAAATATATTTTTGAAACATATATAAAATTAAAAAAATACTAAAATAATGAAAAAATGAAGTTATTATTTTCGATAAATTATTATTACTATCAATTTCAAATAAGATATTAAAAAAACCTAATTATAACCCGTTAAGATGACTTGGAACCCCACATTATGAAAACCCGCATTTTTACTCGTCTACTCACTTTTATGAGAAAGAATTAAAACAGAAAAATCATTACTGATCTTTGCCAATAAACGCAAGTCATAGCACTAAAAATATAACTGGCAAAAAACGAAATAGATGTGAAATAAATAAATGAGCACAGTCACATATGTCATCATCAACCTATCAGCCTGTAACCCTAAAGAATAAGTATAAACTCAGATCAGATGCCATCTCATTTCACCTCTCTCTAAATAGTAACTTTTTAGAAATTTATCATATTATCATACTAAAGAAAGATTTCAATAACTTAGAGTCATTAAGCCGAAAAATTCGCAATTCAAAGAAAGTCGCTCATATAATTTCATAAAATTATACAAGACCAGATGAAAACATTGAAAGGCATATATACTTTCGTAGAATGAACTGGAACTGCCGAGTAATAGGAAAGGATCAAAGAGTTTTACAAAAAATTACTAGGTTTAAGATACCGCAAGATTCTACAAAAATTTAGAGAACCTGTTTTTCAAAACAAATAGGTAACATAACATCAACATAACAACATAATCTCTCATGATACCAAGTCGACGTTATGGCTATGTGATTTAGTAAAGTGAACTAAAAATGGAATTTCAACACACCTGTCAATAACCTATAATACAGCAGAAAATTAAAACAATTTTACGACCAACCAATTTCGCAATTAAAAGAATAATAAGGACGAATAAAAATACATCTAAAATAGTACCAATGCCATCAAAGACGATTGAGTGCAGCCCAGTAAAATTTAAAGCAATAAAGTACGACCCAAAATAATCCAGCACAACCATGTAATCACAACTAAATGTAATCCAACGAGCAAAACAAGGATGGATGGAGAACAATCCTAGGCCCAACATGATCCAAAATGGCCCGAGATTAAAAGCGAAGAAAATTCATTTACCTGGCAAACGATAATAACGATGTCGATGTGTTACGTCGACGTTGCACCAATCGTTGATTTTCCAGATTTTCAGCGAGGGAATCGCAAACAATATTATCGCCGCTAATTGCACTAAATTCAGCAGCAGTATTAGCAGCACGAATTGCACTAATTGTTTCACTAATTGTACCCACTGCAGGAATTGCACGAATCGCACTAAATTCACTTCCAATATGATTGATGACGTTTGCTGTACTAATAATATTTGGATTTCCTTCAGTTCTGATTATCGTCGATTTACGATTAGGAATTGCACGGTTTGCGTGGTTTCTGCGACTTGCACGACTTGCAAAAACTGCACGAAATGCAATAGTAAAATAACTGCAACGAGAAGCATTCCCATCCAGCCTTTTTGATGTTTCGTTTGACGACCCAAACCCCGCCGACTAGTCATCCCCAATTTCTTTCTCTTTTCTCTCTCATCCTCACCGTTACTAACAGACTATTTCTACGGCTTTCATTTCTTTTTTCTCGTTCTCCTTATCATTTGTTTTTATTTCTCGACTTATCATGGACTCCCTCGTCAATATCTCTATTTGCATGCGTCCACCCTACATTTCCATGATCTCTCATCGTTCAGTAGACATCAGACATTACATATCACTGTCTGTTCGCTTATCACTATAGTTTCGAAGTTTTCAACAGCCGCAGCCCCTTGCTTTGATTTTGCGGTTCGGCATCATTTAAAAATAAACAATTTGCGTCTGAAAACAGTGGTCATCGTATGTTGGCAAATGTCACAGATGTCTTTATGAACCTAGGCAATATCTGGAACAAATCGTTTTGTTCCAGAAATGTACCACTGTTTCTGGTTAAAGCTTAGACTTGGACGCTATCAGTCTTTTCTATTAGAAAATCATTTGAGTGTAGAGGTTACATTTAGATTTTCGATAGTTACTTGAGGATGTTGTTTGATAAAATCTTAGTTGTTTGATAAAACCTTAATTCTCTGGAAACATAAAATCGGCCCAAATGTTTGGCCACAATCGCTTTCAAACTGATAATATAGTTCGTCATTTTGAATGAAAATGTATTATCAAATATGTTAAAATTTATCAAATTATCAAATTTATCAAAAACTTATGGCCCTAAAACTTTTTTCTTTGAATGCATTGAAAGTATTTTCGATATTTTTCAGTAACTGATCCACGACAACATATTTATATTTCTGTGCTCTTTTCGTTCCTTTTTTCTTCCTCAAAACTTCGGATTCTCCAACTCGGATTCTTCTCTTATCACCATTTTATCACCAATTATTCGTGTTCCTGCAACTTTGTTGCATTACAACCCACCTTGCATTTATCGGTGAATGATGGGTCACTTTGGTGCATACAGACGAATCGTGAGCGGTGTCTCTAAATTAAACATCGTCCTTCATAACTTTACTTACATTAAATAACGAATTTTTTCTTTTGGATCCTTTTTCCTGGAAAATTTCGTGGTATTCACAACTTCGTGGATTGCCAAAAATTTTTCATCGTGGAACAGAAAAAAAATAGATAATTTATCTTTTGCGTGCGATAAAGCGATTCATCTCGCGGTAGTTTTGCTACGACGATTTTTTTTTGGTTTTTTCTTTTCAAATTTATACGATTTGATTGCCTTTTATCAATCAAATTTCTCTAAAATTACAAATAATATACAAAATAATAATCATTTGGGTTTTTAAAAAAGAATTTAAATTTATTTAAATTTTGAAAATTTTGGAGTTAACAACGAATGTCGAGACAGATTATTAAATTATCAAAAAAAAGAAATTTATAGGAAAAAACAGGAAATTTATATAAAAATATAGCGCTATTCACTAAGGTTGGTTAGGAGTGGCAGTAGCAGTTGTAGTGGCAGTAGCAGTAGCAGTGGCAGTGGCAATAGCATAATTCAGATTTTACTTTTAATGAAAGGTCTACCCTCGCTGAAGAACTAAATCTTAATAGATAACTTAATCGAAGCATCAGCATTATTAATGGCACTCGACGATCCGTTCTTCAGTGAGCGAAACATCACGAATATTCGTATGATAATTATCTCATAAACAAATCTTTTCTTTTGAATACAAATTTAATTTTACAATTTAAAGTTAAAAAATTCAACGAATCGTTGTTTTCTTTATCAGCGTTATCACCCAATTCTGTTATCAGTTGGCGATGGATTTAGGATTTTTCCTTCATGGGAATTTTCTTGCCTATTTAAGAAGTAAAAGTAAAGTAAATCAAAGTCGACGATGTTAGAATCGATAGATTTTTGCAAAATAAAGTGATTCATTTCAGATGAAAAAATCTTATACAATTTCTTTAAATTTTGTCTCATTTTTTTCGCCAAATGATGATCGAATTTTCTTGGATTTTCTAAATTTAAATTAAAATTATGAGACGAGAAATATAAAATTTCAAATTTTAATCGAAAAATTTTATTTTAATCAAACGAAAACAAAACTTTAAAACTCTGTTGTTATTCAAAAAAATTGTGCATTTTCGATTAATTAATCGAATAATTAATTAATTAAATAAAAATAACTAATTTTTTCCTGAGGGGAAACAAATTATTTCACTTGTTTGACCGAATAATTTTATTAATTCTTCAATTAAATAATTAATTGATTAAATTTTTAAAGCATTTTTATTTAATTTTGAATTTTTCTTTTGAACGATTTCTTATGTACAAGTGAATGAATTTATTAATAAATTTTTACTTAAATTTTTTAAAATTTTAATTCAAATTTTTAAAAGGTTGAGAATCGACTCATTACTTTTGAAAAGCGCATAATATATCTTATCAAATATATAATATATTTCATTAAAAATGAAATCCGAATGGTATATCCATGAATTCCCGTTTGATTCTCTGGCAGGAGAACAATACTTTGAATAATCAGTCGAGCTAGCCAAGCTATTTGCCATTGTAGATGAGTGATAATGATAATAAAAAAATAATAATCTTAATAATCTTACTAGCAATACCAAAAAAGAAGCGAAATTATCACCACATTTATTGCCATTTAACTGCTTTACCCTCAAAAAATCAAGGTGAAGATATGAATTTATCGTGATTTTATCCTTTATATAGCTCATTTCGATATTTTATTTATATTTTTATTTGCATTTATTTATAATTGTCTTTTTATACATGTAATATTTTTATTTTATATAATATGATATGATATAAAATATGATATGATATGATATTGCCAGTTTGTCAATGAGTTTAATTTTCGTTACTCCAAATTTTGCACCAAATTTCTGCAATTTTTTGATTCTTCTTTTGTTCAACTGTTTTTAAATTCAGCTAATTAATTCAATAAATCCTTTATTAAAAGGAGACGGGAGTTCATCGACTACTATTGCATCGATTCGATCATCATCGATATGACTTCTGTCACTTAACAAAAGGAAATGTGCTATTAAAAATGGTATACGGGTAGTGCCTAGAACCATCTCTAATCTTAATGCGCAGTAGAGTTAGCCAAACCACAAATTTCAGAAAAATTCATATATTGATTTGACTATTATTTTAAATATTATTTCATTAAATTTTTAGCATGTTTTATTAGTTTTGCACAGTATCTTTTGTATTTTCGAAAAAACAAAACCATTCTTTTTTATCTCTATAAAAGTTTATCAGTTTATTTATATTATCAAATATTTATCATTCTTGTGATATTTATCACAAATTTATACAAATGTCATATTACTGCAGTGAAGAAATTTTTTGAATAAATTTCAGAATAGACTATGGCGCTTATTCCAGGACAAAATGATATTTTAAGAACGAACACATTACGAAAAATTTGTAGAAATGGAGTCGAGGACATACTAAACTATTTCATCAATTCGAGGATAATGGTCCATTGAATTATTAATAATAATTGAATGAAGGAAAGGAGAAAGAAAGAAGGAATCGAGAGAAAGGATTCTTTTATACGGCACCACTTGTTGTAAAAAAAACCAAGTGAGATTTACAAAAAATTTCAACTTGTCGAGAAAAAAATGGAGAAAACGCTCTATGAAGAAGAATTTTTTATAATTTTCAACTTTCTGATGAAACAAATTTTTTCTTATGAATTCCGCTGAACTTTTTTTCATAATTTCTGGTTTGGCTGGTTTCTGTAATTGTTATGTAATTATTATAGCCGCAGAGATTCACTTGAGAACAGAAATATGCGTCCCCAGCATCACTAAGATTTCATTTTAACGTTAGGATTACTCTCATCAAAGTGCAAAAATTGAAATCTATGACGATCTTAATTGAAGCGAAGTGTCATTCTTACATCCTACTCTATATTAGCTTTCGCTAACAATTGCCATTTTTTAAATAACACTAGTTTTTTTCTAATTTCCTTGAAATATATTGGATTTTCCATGCAAACTTCCAATAACTGCAACCCAGTCGACCATTCTTCATAATGATGCATCAATTTAAGTAGAGTCCATTTCACGTTCTCTTATCGCCAATCGTCAGTTAATATCTCAGAAACTGATATGACAAGGTTATCAAACCAAGATTCAGTCTGAAGGATCCAATAGGCGATTAGATCATAATAAAAATTTAGGTTAACTATTCCTATTTCTGTATTTCCACTCTCCCTCCCTCTGACTTTTGATAAATTTTAGTTACAAGTACGACCGAACAATAATAATTTATCAGTACATTTTTTTTAAAAATATGTTCTTCAAAATTAATTAGTAAGTAATTTTTATGAAACAAGCCGTTTCGCAAAATCTCAGTTTATCTGACTAAAAGAATTCCAAATTTATGCAAACTATAAAAAATTTCCTCAAAACTTTTGAGAATCGTTACAGTGCTTTCATGGATCCAACTGAATCCAATAGTTTTCTGAAGTTTTTTTTAGATAAAACTTTGAGGTTGATTTTCTAATAAAATTGCATCAGCATAACGATATATTTATAAAGAATACAAAAGTCAAGGATTAGAAAAAACATTAAATGGAATTTTGTTGCAAAAATAAACGACGTGACTTGAGATGTGTTAAAATTTCATTTCCAGATATTCCCATCTTTTCACTTTCACGAATCACATCCTCAATATATTTCTCAACTGTTTCGATTACTGAAATTTTACGAGATATTTTTGAAATTTTGCTTATTTATGAAAGAAAAAAAAGCGAATAAGCGAACATAAAAACAAATATTTCCAGTCTTTTAAATAAATTTCGCTTCAGTGACCCTGGATATCACTTTCACTGACCCTTCACTGTGCCTGTAGTGCCCTTAAATTCAAGAAAAACCTGCACCTGGCCTAAACGAAATCTGTGGACGGAACATATTCTATTACACATCAGCGAAAGTCCTATTCTGCTCGCCCTGACCATCCTGACTTCATTGATGCAGATAAAATAGTTGTCATGATATTCGAAATTATTCGAAGCACCACAGTATCTCTGCTCCACCACAATATCCAGGATTAATAATTATTTGAGATCCGAAATGAAGAAGACATGAAAAGGACCTCCGACAAGCAAGCGATATCCACACAATATTTAGAAATGGTGTGGAAGTGATCGCTTGACTTGCAACGTCCATAAGCGTTTCTGATACCGCTAATACCTCGCAGCGCGTGCAGGTCAATATATAATTAAATAATTAAATAATGGTAAAACTAATTATAAAAAATACTTCTTTTTTTATCAAAATTTCTTTTAATTGGTTGCCAATATAATGTTCGTTTAAATGGTTGCCATTTAAGCGACCTTCGTGCAAAGTTACTCTTTTCATAACTTGTCATTGGAAAACTAGAATCTTCACTTCCCTAAAAAATTTTCCGATTATTTCTTAGTTAAATGGATTTTATATTATTCAGCGAGATATCAAGGAATTATATTTTCACTGGCATATTATTCTTATTCTTCTTCCAGTTACAGCTTTCAGCACATCCAGTGTGGTTGGCATTATTAACTGACAAAGCGAGGCCCCATACCAGAGAATCACTTGGCGAAAGAATTACTACAGATAGGCCCTCAGCCCGATCCGATATTAGTGATATTATTGATTAATATTAAAATATTCGAAGCCGTTAATTGTTAATGTAGTCATTAACAAGTAAGAGTAAAAAATGAAAAAAATTCAATAGATTAACTTGATTTGAGTTCAGTTAAGTTTTAGTTCACTGAGACCTCAAAATTTTTTCAGCCTTAAATTAACTGGTAATTTCCTTGGTTGTTGTCGATCAGAAATCCTTTAAATGCGAAATTGCATAATTAAAATGCTAAAATGATGTTAAAATACTACAATTAAAATACTAAAATACTTTTCACTTTTCCGGCTTATTTCAGTTATTCAGTTTTATTTCAATTAGTGGGAAATTCTGACAGGAAATTCGTCCAAAGCCAAAGAAACTTAAAAGAATAAAGGATAACTTTAACAAGAAATGAGGAAAAAAGAAAATGTTACCCATATTACAAATTATTTTACAGTAATTTTTCTTGAGGAATATTTAAGAAATAATATTTTTTGAAAAATACCTCGGTTAACTTTGCGATATAACTTAAGTATCAGCCTTTTTTTCTGCTTGCGATTTTCAAAATTTGTTTCTTAATTTGTTTCAAAATTTCCAATAGAATGAAAAGAAAATTTATTGTGAAAATAATTTGCCTGTACAGCTATACAGTTCTGTTATGCATTGAGTTTCTTCATACTAACACTACTTCTATTTTAAATAGTTTTATTGGCTACTGTGTGAGAACTTTTCACCAGAGAGGCATTAGAAGATAGAAATAGTGGGTCGCTAGCACCACTAAGATATCATTTTAAATGTAAAATTGCTATCATGAAATTCATTATGCTGAACCTTATTAGTCGAAATACTCAGTCATGCACAAACATTCGTGTACGTAAACGAATTTCAAGTGTTTAAATACCACTTCTAATTTGTTCTAAAAAGCAATGGATTTAAGATATATTTGAATTTAAAAACAAAATCTTAAATCGTAACCTCAGCCGATTGTTCCGGTAACGAATAGCCGTTTACAGCCGTTTTATAGATGCTAAAAATTGCTGGTGAATACTGCGTATCATCCGTTGCATCCGCTGTGCTTTCTTTTTTCAATCGTTGTTGTAGTATGAGAAGTTGATCTTGCAGATCACCGAGTTTCGCATCAAGGTCAACCTGATGGCGTACATTTTCTGCTGAAATTCCCTAAGTTAGAGTTCTTCAAGGATAAATTCCTAAAAATTTCAAACATTCTGATACCTTTCTTCACAAGAAAAGTTTATTTAGTGTTGCAGCATTGTGCTTTATTAAAAAGATTTTAATATAGATGTTATGCAAATAATTTTTCTTCATTAAAAAGATTTCAATGAAATAGAAAATAATTAATTCCTACATTATAAAATATTTTTATCATAAATTTTGCGAAATAATTCACCATAAAATTTGAAAAAAAAATAATTTCGCGTTGAGTGATGAAAATTATAGAAAAGAAATTTTTTTTCAATTTAACAACGTTTTACTATTCAATATTTATGTTTTTGGAATTTTTAAATTAGTTGTCGTGAATATTTAAAATTTTTATTCGCCCAATAGCCAACAAAGATAATTCCAAAAAAAATTAGTAAATCGTCATTATAAAAATGCAAAAAAATGATAAAAAATATGTAGGAGATTTTATTGTTCAGAAAAAAATTAATACATTAATACAATACAATTAATTAAAACTAAATTAAAAATTAAAGAATAATACAGAAATCGAATTCACTTCGATTTTAGCAATTTTTTGAAACGGTGCATGAACTTTTTATTTATAAAAGTGAGGAAGGCAACAAGTAACTGAACCATTTCTTATTGGTTTTCAGTGCTATTATTTAGCAGAACAGCTGTTTCGCCATTTGAGAATAAAAGTATAGTTCCATAAGATTAAGTGGATTGTTTAATGATGCTTATTCCTATCTGAGGTAGATGCAGAGTCATGATGCTTCAATGATAATCTCAGCAATACATATTCGCCTTCAATTAACTTTACCGAAATAAACCAAGCCATAAACAAATCGGTGATTCGCCCAGTTCTAGTCTTAGTTTTTTAGTGATATGTGTCATAAAAAATCAAATATGATTTCATTTTTCTACTTCGCTTTGAGCGGTTTTGCATCACATGAATTTTGTTTTAACTTGTATTATTTTCATTACAAATACAGACATCCAGATTTCACTTCATTTTACTTCTTTCTCCAACGAACAGTGATCGATCCCACAATGCTTAAGCACAAAGCAATATATTAGTAATAAAAATGCAGTGAATTGAAATAATTTAAATTTTCTGCTTTTTCACGCCGTTTATTTTCAGCAACCATGACTTCTTCGAAAATCGATACTTTATGCAAAATAAGTACCAAGAAAATATGTTGAAAGTAAGAAACATAGGTTCGTTTCCCTTTTCCTGAGATTTCCTCAGGTTCACCTCTATACTTTCTTAGAATCTTTGGTGAAGAGATCGCAAGAATCATTAAGAATGAAATCCACATGGCTCGTGCAAAAATTATTCCATTTGCGTAAGACTCCAAGCGGCCACTGCTGCTGGAAATCGTTTCCAAAATTTCTTCAATATTCTTTAATGTAAAGTCGAGAGGTGGAGAAGTGAAAACCGAGAATGAAAGGCCTGCAAAATATGGTAATGACTTCGATATTCGACTCAGCAAATTTTTGCAGCGCAATTATGTGCGGTCTTCTAATCGTGCAGAATGGTGGAATCTTTTTTGTTGATCAGTGCTGGGTTGCTGCGTTTCTTACTCGTGGATGACTTAGCTGATCTTTGTGCAAAGTTTGAAGTTTGTGAACCTATAGTTTGTCAATTATGCAGCATATTGCTAAACAATGAGGTGAGCACAGCCTTCTCTAAGTGAGCATCGGGTTTGGGAATGGATGGAAAGAGTTCGCCATTGCCCAGCAACCCAGCAACTTTGCCGATTTTCTGTTGTCGTATAAAATCAATTTTTCATCAGAAATAAAATCACTTCTAGGATTGGGTCACTTTCATATCGAATTCAAGCATGGTTCTATTTATCTGATTTGCAAATTGTTCCACACGCTATTGTATGAAACTCCAAACTCCTGCGTTAAATCTGTCTGTACAACTATTCCGGGATAACCATCAGCCAATTCTTTCAGGGCTTCAGTAGCGTTTCTCGCTGAGTTTACTGTAGCAAAAGCTTGGATTTTGCCTCTGTCAGGAATAAAAATTCCAGTTAAGAGTGGTCGCTAAATTAAAAATATTTTTCCTTTATACTACTCCGTTTACATTAGTCGAACCAGAAATCGTATATTTTATATTTTCTTTTTCATATTTCCCATAGTTTCCAGAATAACTAAAACTACTTCATATTAATCGTTCATATTAATCGAGAAAGTTTAGGAAAAAGCTAACAAATAGTTAATATTTTATTCCAATGGTTTTTAAGAGAGCAAAATAAATAATTTTGCTAATAATTCACTTGAAGATAGAACAATACAAATGATTTCCTAGCATCGCTCGGGTTTTCCAATGGCACATTTCCTACTTGTCTAGCGTTGAGAATGACGCTTAGAATGAGGATCCTAGCAACAACTACTCAATTATTTTGCCCATTTTGGCTATATATACAAATAAATTTTACATCCATAGTCCATTCAGAAGCAAAGATTAATGATGATCTTCAAGTTTCATAATTAGCTCATAATTCTTCGAGTTGGCACCTGTAGCTGCCAGTTGCAATAAAAATTTAAATTTATTTCTGAACAAAATGCTCAATTCTCTGCGACATTGCCCATTGAAATATCTCGACTAATTTATTTAAATTTTTGGTGCTAAGCCCTTTTTTTTCGCCAATGATTAATCATCCATGAATGAATGGAAAAGTCGAACTGTTGCTTATGATCTTAAAAATATCTTGGCTCAGATAAAAGTAAATCCACAATTAAAAATCTTCGAGCTGATTCACCTATATGCCAGATAGTAAAATTTTTGCAGCTAGTGGAACAAGCTTTGCAAGGAATGATTTAATGAAGAATGAATATAATTAAAATTTTATTTGTCAGAATTTCCTTTCTGACTGCTTTTCAGTTGGCTTTGAATGGACCAATTTTTAAATTTCGTTGGAATCACCATTTTTCACCAAATAGTTATAAAAATAGTGAAAATTAAAAATTATTGGAATTGTTTTAAGCAAGCTTTTTCTCAAATTGATGATATTTCTCGAATAAAAATATACTAGAATACTAAAAACGCTCTAAATATTAAAATCAGTTCGAAAGTATTTAAAATTAAGAATTTTAAAATTGGTGCATTTCAATAAAGTAACTAAAAATAAAAATAAAGTATGGAATTATATATATGGAAGTATGAAAGTATGGAATAAAATATGAAATAAAAATAAAGTACTGAAAGAATGCAATTAGTTGAAGTTGTGTTCAGAAGAATTATTGCACATAAAGTGCATATTTTTTTTATATCCTATTTTCGTATCTCATAACTATGTATTAGTTAAAAGGAAGAAAGGCACTTCTGTTGATAAGTTAAATTGGTTGATAAGGATAAATGAAATGAATGTTAAAATTATGAAAATTTTTGAAATTTTTCATAAATTCAATTTTTCAAAGTTTTAAGTCTTTCGATATTCTCATAACTTAATGTATACTCTATTCGAATGAATAGATATTACGTTCTGCCAAAATTACGCCAAAATTATGGTTTATAATATCAATATGATTTCTCTTCACCACTAATTCTTTTTTTCTTTATTTTAAACATAAAATAAAAGTAGATTTCTTATTTCATCTTAAATTCCGAGTTATTTAACTAAATTTCAGGGCCATCGAAATGCAAAAAAATTATTTTATTCATTTTTTATATATATAAATAAAATAAAATAAAAATAGATTTAAATTTATTTAAATTACTTAAATTATTTTAAATCATTATTTTACATTAATCATTTATTTAAATTAAATTAAATCATTAAATCATTTAAATTATTTTATTCATTTTTTATATCCTCGATTAGAATGTACAATACACTTTGTAATCTATTATCACTGGAGAAGTAAGAAAACATCATATTTAGAACAAAAAACTCCTATGCTAGTTTTTGAAAAAATTTATTAACAGTTCCAAATGAATTTCGTTCAGCACAAACTGCTTTCACTGTGTAACTTAATTCATATTTTCATCTATTACTGAAGCCAACTGACGAAATCTAATTTTATATTTTTGAGGTCCAAGTTCGAATTGATAAATGAATTTAATTAGTTAGCGCTCATCATTTCTGCCGTGTACGGCTAAAACTTTTTGTCGGGAAATCATTTGGTGGTAAAAACACGCATAAACGGCAGCAATACCTGGACTTTGTTTTTGTCGCTCCACTGGCTTGTCGCAGTGGGCAATACGTCAGGCAATCCCTTGATGATAGAAATACAGGTGAATCGCCAGCATCACCCGGATTTTTATACAGGCTTATTCTTGCGGGGAATCGAAGCATCGGCACTCCCAATCGAGCAACAACCCACTGAACCATTCTATTCCCACATTATTCTAACTCTATTTTTAACTGTTCGCAAATTTTTAGAATTTTTAACGAGCTCTTCCATTATTTTTAAATTTATTCACTATTTTTATCTGAGACAACGCTTTTTCATCATTTAACCTAATTTGTCTGTGGTACTGATTTATTAATTCCATCTAGATAAATATTAATAAATATTAAATCAAAAGATTGCCTTTATCATTGAAAATAATAAAAAGATATTATGGAATGCCTAAAATGCAAAGAATCTGAACATTTGTAGTTCATTAGATAAGAAAACACGCATGATGTTAATGTTACAGTGACAATGTATTGGTTACAATTGGTTATAAGGAACTCAAATTTTTATGTAAGTCTGTGAAAATGCAGAGAAATTTTAAAAAGTATATGAAACTTATTCTTATTAAATATTCTTCTAACAGCATCACCATTTTTGGTTTGACTCATCGCATTAGACAAGAAGAGCAAGGATAACGAAAAGTTATTTTTAAAAAATGGAATGAATTTTATTCCTCAACTAAACTTAAGGATTCATTCCAGAAATAAACAGAAAATAAGCAAAAAGAAAGAAAAATAGAAGCGATAGCCCGATCAGTAAATTTTAGGCTTAGACATTGTTTTTTCATTTTCATTTTTCACAAAATACTACCAAAATTTGTAAGAGGAAAAAAGTATAAATAATGGGGTTTCAATGAAGTGAAGAAAAAGCAAAACATACCATTCAAAAAAAGGAAGAAGATGACTAGAACAAACCATCGAATCATACCAATACTATCGATAAGAACTGCAAATTTTCTACTTTTATCACCATTAGGCATATTGAATGATGGGCGGAACTGCTAAGATTGAAAACTACCGCAGAATCGATAAAGAAAAACTCTGGATATTAGGTTTTAGGAATTACGGCTGAAATTCTTTATATAAGGAACAATATAAGGAACTCAAGTTTTTATCTAAGTCTATGAAAATGTGGAGGAAACTTAAAAAGTATGTGAAACTTACATTCTTCGAACAACATCATCATTTTTGGTTTACTCATCGCATGACTGAAGGAATGGCATTCTTTCACCCGAGAGAGGGGGTCTAATGAATTTCCGGCGCTAGCCGGACTTTATTTTTAATAACAGGTTTATAGGTCTTTTTGAATATCAATGGAAAAAAATGGAAACTATGGTGTTTATCGAAGTAGTATGATTGACCGTATTGGCCACAGCATTCGCCTAATTTGGTGAATAAGTGATGGAATTTATTTCCAATTCGCGAATAAAAAATCCGCTTTTAAAATTCCGGCTCAAACAAGGAAATAAATGTTGGATAAATTTATACTGGATAGATTGGATAATACACAAATGATTAAAATTCATTCATTATATTATTGTTATTATCACTATTATTATCAAAATTATTGCATTATTATTAGTGTTTTTGGTGTATTACTATGATTATCGTTCATTATTAATATTATTAATTATTAAAGGAAATGAGGATGATAAATGAGGAAATATAGAATGAGGAATTCTTTATAAGTTCTTCATTTGAATAAGTTTATTCAAAAAGAATGCAAATTACATTATGAATTCAAAAGGAAAATAAAAGAAATTCGAAAGAATGAGCTACGAGAGCGCTTTCTTCCTAAGGACGCACTGAATTCCACTATTCAAGTCAAATTAACAAAGTTACAGAAACAACGAAAACATCCAAATAAAAAACCTATTATACTGCAGCACTTAGGCTAAGTTTCGGTAATGGTTTCGAAATAACAGTTATCAATGCGAACTCCAAAATTTAAAATGTTACACACTTCTTTGATTCAGCAATTCCAAACGAATAAAATAGGACGCAGAACGAAGTTTCTTTTATTAATATATAGGCTACAACCTTTCTGGTGGAAAGTATTTAGATGGCCCAGTTCGATTTAAATCCTCTTTGCAGCTAATTTAAGGTCGATCCACCTCGATCTTGAGATGATAAGTTTTGCATAAGTCATTGACAAAGAAAGTTCACAGTGATAATGTGGAGTTTCTAGGACGTTATTCCACTCACATTAAAGATAAGAGTATTTTGCGGTACACCTTGCGGAAGTTCGACAATTTGCGGTTCATACTCTGCGGCTCATTTTCTGAATATATTTATTAAATTTATGATATCTAAAACACAAAATTTTTTATCTAAGTTAATAATTTGCCATTTATGCCCATATCAGAAATAACCGATAGGTTGGAGTGGGAAACGCATCAAATGCTTTGGCTATATACTAACAGTTTTGTTATCAATTTCAATTTCAGAAACGAATGCCATATTAATTTTGCAATGACAATCTACTGACATCATTTTAAATAAAGATAAGATGTGTGTGTTCCATAATACTGGACTGCTGCTTTTGCCACGTTTCCAAATAAAAAATAAGGTATAGTAAGTATTTTTTGTGCAAAATCTGAGAGGTGATCTTAGAAGAAGAGAATCAAATTCAGCACCAGGCAAGGGATTTCTTGTTGGTTCTAAGGAATCCCCATTGTTATCGACAAAATGCAGCCAAAGTAATTTAAAGCAGAAATGTATAAATTTCATCTATAAGGACTTCATAATCCACTTCTATAAGTGAAGCATTTCTAGAATGGGGCGAGAATTTAGACTGGCAATGATTCCAAAATAGCTTGGAATTTTTGGAACCTAAAACGCCTCACCATTATGGAAATCATTTGGTAATCCTTTAAGTTATGCTGCACTGATATATTCATCAAAAGACTTTCAGCTCAGCCACGATTTGTAAGAATTTGGAGGCAACTGATGGACTTTTTTATGTGCACAGCAATGAGTTTTTCTATAAATTTGTGCAAAAAACCATTAAGTAGAGACTTTTTAATGTAAAATTAAATAAAAATAATAAGGAAAAAGTCGTTCTCAAAGATTATTATAGCAAATAACATAGGACAGAAATTTTTTAAAAATTTTATGGATTTTAAAATATTTCATCGTTTTTTAAATTTTATTTTGTAATATATTTATCAATATTCGCGCGTGAATTATCCGAACGATCAAATACTAATATTTAACTTTTTGAATTCCGTCAAGCTTATTAAAACTGCAAAAAAAACAAAGGTAAATTCAAATATATTTTTTATGAAAGATTTTTTGTAAAAATGCATTACTTTTGCCTGTTTATCGTGTATGCAGATGAAAGAAGATTATAAGACGCGTGATAAATGAAATCAATGATACAGCGAGGAAAATGCAGATGGAGGACTGAGGAAGGAAAAAAAGAGATATCTGAGCAGGGGCACCATAGACCAATAACCGTAAATATATTCATACTGCCTATCAATATTATGCTTGAATTATCGAAATAGAGTTATTAAATGCATCGTTCCATGACTATAAAAGTATAACCAGCAAATATTTCAGGCTACCAACTGAGTCGCTCTTTTCGATTATATCATATGATACTTTAAATAGCATAGCATTATATAACATTCCACCGGAAAAATTCATTTTTTTAATTTATGCTATTATAATCTACTATAAAGAAGTAAGTAATTTTTGATAGCACTTATGACCCAGCGGAACCAGCTCAACCACTAATTAAACGATTTGATAGTTGGAAATATCCAACTTTACTAAAGAATTATCGTCCCAAGAGGGTATACTTGAAATTATTATTGCTTGAATTATCAGTTTAGGCAATATAGTTCATTTTCACATTGATTATCAAATTATATCCAGGAATGGCGTTCTGCTTAGATTATCATTTCAAAGATCATATCTCAGCAGTGGTAGAATTAAAATTATCATTAGGAAATCCGAGCAATGCCAGTCACTCAAGAAGTGGCACTCATCCTAAGAACCAGCAAGCCCAGTCAGAAATGATAACAAAAATAATCAACAAAAAAATTGAATATCAATTTTTTAAATCTATTTACTCAAATTTAATGCTAACTTTTAAAAATGCGGCAAAAAATTTGATGAAAAGCATTTTCAGAAAATAATTTTCATAAAATAAAAATCAATAAGAAAAATATAAATCAAAACAGCACAGCTAAAAGCATTTTCATCAAATTAAAAGATATATAAAATTAATTCATTAAAACTTAATAAGGTAATATAATGAATTTTTTTCGGCAGATGGACTATTTAAATGACTAGCTTAATAAACGAAATAGTGGATTGTAATAGATAGGAAGACTGCAGTGAGCAAAAATATATCGAAGAGCACATAAGCAGCATAGCAATAATTTCATAACAAAATAAAGTGAAAAAAGCCACAAAAAGAAAAAGTCGAAAACTAACCAGAAATATTCCAACAATATGTAACTGAAAATAATGGACGATAGATTGCAAAAAATTTGCAACTAAAATGAATACAAAATTCAAATAGATTTAACGAGAAATCCTCACTAACAAAAATATAAAATTAAATATATCTAAAAATAATTTACGAAAATTGAAATTATCATAGAAAAAAATCTAATCAACTAATAAAAATAATTTATGAAGAATCAAAATCGTTCGAAAAAAAAAATAAATTAATAATGAGCTCAAAATGTAGAAAAAAATAACGAATCATCTCGATAAGAGAATAAATAATTGTAAAATCGATGTTGAATTGAAGAGCACATAAGCGGCATAAGAAAAATGTAAAAGAAATAGAAGAAAAAATGAAAAAGTAGAAAGATTGATATATTAAAAAATATTTATAAAAATAAATATTATCAATAAATATTTCATTAAATTAGAAACAGAAAAATTATCAAAAAATATGAAACAGGAAAAAAATTATAGAATAATAACTAAAATAATATATTAAATTAAATAGAGACAAAGCTCCATAAAAATATGAGAAAAGACGAACGAAAACTTAGAAGCTTGAAACATAAAAGTTTTAAATCTAGAAGTGTAAGAAAGAAAACCGAGAAAATATCATATAAATAAAGATAAACAATTTATCGACAATAAAATCTACATAGAAAGAAAATAGTGTGTGATACCATTTTCGCTCATCTTTGATGAAACTCTGAAAATTTTATTAATTATGAGAAAAACAAAAAAAAGAATAAAAAAAAGCAAATGCAGTGATAAAATATTAAAAATTCACATGATGTGATCCAATTCGCTGTAAAGAAACTAGCTCAGCAAAATTTCGATATCCTATACTATTTCATATATTTGCCTATAAAAAAAAAGTAATACATATGAGAATCGCATGTTTCGCACTTTTTAATTTTTTCATTTAGTACTCATTAGAAATATAGTAATGAATTATAAGTGACATGAAGAATCATGAAATATGAAGAACCTAGTAGTGACATATTCTGAAGGACGTTCAGCAAAATGCATTGAAATTGTATGCACCGCTCCATTACCACCCTGCCCACAACATGAAGAAGCTAACGATGATTCGCCTGTATTAATAGAGATCCGCGAAGATTTTCTATCTTGTTCCATTAAATGCACTGCATCATCTGTGCCACAGGTTGAAATAGAGAATGATGGCATAGTGTTTGATTTAACAGATACAAACTGCTTAGTATGAGACGGTGATTCTGTTGTGTGAGAACGTAACGACCGTAAATATCCTGGCCGATTGCATCTGAAAACTAAAATATTTTGGACAAATCAAAATTAAAACTTATAACTTTGCTTCAAGCATGAAAATACCCAAATGATGTCATTATATGCCGCTGATAATCGAAGCAACTGTTGCACAAGAAATTGGTTGTTGGTGAAGCTGGCTAGAAATAATAGCTACATTGTACAACTTGTTCATAAAGAAAGAAAAATGAATCAACTTTCCAATTTAAAGCATTTATTTAAAGTGAACAAAAATTAATTTAATGCGGAAAAAGATAATGGTTCGAAAAAAGAAATTATATGGTATAGTATTAGAAAGGTAAAATTTTAAACCTGTTGACAGCCATTATTAATGCAAGTAATCGAAAGCGAACTGGTGCTGAAGGAGCTAGATATTCGAGATCGCTGTCGATTTACTGATGATGGAGTCTAAAACAGTAAATTATTCATATAGAAATCAAACCTTAAGCGAGAAAAAAAATTTTTGAATAAAAGAATTCACAAGAAAAATACATTTTTACATATACATTTAAATACATTTTTTAAATACATTCAAAAATACATTTTTTGCCTGTTCAAAACGTTCACGAGCTGAGGCAAGATAATTTTCAACCATATATTCCATATATTGATGCTCATGCGAGTATAAACGAGCTGCAAGCACAAGGTTGTTACAGTGTAAATCGTTTATAGTAACAGTTTTCAATCCATCATCCAGAGAATCCTTAAAATATATCAGACTAATTATGAATCAGAGCCAATAATACTGTGAAAAAAATTTCGTAATCTGTTTTCATTTTATCAAATTCAACAAACAACAGAAACTATACATTCCCAGTCAACCAATCAATGGCAATGAAAGCTTGCTTACAAATTTTCTTGACCGAAATTTGAAACGTTTTCGTAATTGCTGTGAGATTTCATTAAGAATATTGGAGGAATAATTTTTCATTTCATTTCCATTATTTAATGGAGCAGTAAGCCTTCTGTGTGAAGGTGATTCCGATAAAGCGCTACGTCGAACTGAACTTTTTCGAATCTTAAAAATTAATATAAACCATCAAAAAAATTGATATGATTAATACCATAAAAAATGAATAAAAGAAGCAATACAAGTGAACCAACCAAAATTTTCGTAATATCCATATATTCACACATTAATGAAAGTTGATCTGCCTCACTAAGTTCAATTTTTGAAGCAATTTTCAAATCATCTGCATCTTTCCACCTATGAAAATAAAAATTAAAAAAAAAAAGATTCAAAGGATAGAAATTCGAATAAATAACGAACCAAGTGAAATCAGGCCCAGGATCAACAGAAAAATGAATTGGTAGAAGATTTCGATTTTTATCTGTTATTGGAATAACAGCTGTAAAAAAATTAAGGATGAACTCATACAAAAACCAATTAAAAAACAAACAAAATAAATGCTTAAAGATCTAAAGATCTAATCTGCGAATTTTTTTTTGAACTTACCCTACAACAAAGAATCAAACAAGAATCATAGGCGATAAATGATGAAAATGTGCAGAACTATTTTAAATTTAATAATTGTAGTTGCCATTTCAAGAAAGGAGATCTAGTAAATACTGTTGGACGACTATGGCCTTGGAGTAAGCTATTTGTTGCGGATCAACAAGATCTGGCTAAAGTGAGTTATTAATTATTAATAAAGTGAGTTATTACTAAAACTAATAAGTTATAAAAAAAACTATTTCTTATGGAACTTCCATTTATCTATTTCTATTTTACTTCAAATTACTAGCATTTTACAATGAATTTCAAATTTCAAATCGTTTGATTCAAACTTATAAATAAATGGTTCGAACACACTTGATAACAAAATTATGAGAACCTACGTTGTACAGAACTTGAAAAAGCATTGCGCATAGGAACCACAGCAGAAAAATGAGCTGAATCATAACAGAGAACCAAAGGAGAACGATGACATTTTGATGCAGGGCATTCTAACGGAAGATAAATACCACCGAATGGTATTGGGGCCAATTCTTCGCCAGCTGCATTTCGAAGTACAGTGTCCGATACAACTTCAAATAAGACCTATGGTTAGATTTTTATAAAAAAAATATCCGCAAAAATTATTCATCAGAGTTTATTTTTATTCAACCAACAAAATAAAAAAGTTAGTTTGAATAAAACAGGAATTTCTGGTTAAAAGAATTATCAAAGAAATAAAAAAACAGGTATTCAACAACAGAGAAAAAATAGTTAAGAAAAATGTATTTTCAAGAATTAAATTGGTAAAATAGATACAATAAATAAAAACCAATAGAAACCTATAATCGGCCTTTTAAGAATATGTGCCAAGGCAAAAACATGTATTGCTTCTAAACTTTCATATATTTGTTCATTACGTTCACATTTTTCCATGACTTCATTCTCACTAGAATATTGGAAAATTGAACATAATATTCATGGAATTAACTTAATCCAAAAAATTAATTTATTATTAATTTAAAAATCAAATGAAATATTAACAAAACCTGTTAGCTTTCGAACGTGGTGTTGTTGCTGCCATATTTAATACATTGTTCCATTCATGCTGCCATTCGTCTTCATTCAACACGAGACCTGACTGTAAATTTATCTTACTTTCTACCCATCTCCATCGTCTCCATAAAGTATGCCTTCTGCTCCCACTGGAAAACAATGTTATTTTAAAAAAATTGACAAAATAAAATAAAGCAAAAAAATGAAATAGATCTGCCTTTCAATTATCTAAAGTAAAAAGTTAAGAAAAATGATAAAATTGAAAAAAAATACGGAAAAATAAAAAATTAAATCTCATAGCAAAAAATATAAGCAATTAAAACCAAAAAACCACAGATACCTCGTCAGCATCTGGTGCAAAATACTTCGAAGAATAAGCTGCCGATCGTGAATTCCCCACATACCAAGAGAAGCAGCATGCAATAAGCAGTTGCCATCACCAGTTGTACTTAATGGCCACAACCGTTGGCTGCTTCCATTCCAATACCACCAGTTTAGATGTCCTAAAAAAATAATTGAAAAATTTTTACATAAAATATTTATTGATCTAATTAAAATTAAATATAATTATAATAATTATAAGTATAATTAAAATAAAATTGCCTGAACTTTCCAATCTTTTCAAAGTTGACGTTTCAATAAGATCCTTTTCCAGAAAGTCTCTGAATTCAGCAGGCAATTCTGATAGATTAGGCAAAACAAATCCGTAAGCAGGAATACGAAAGACAATCTCCAAATTCCAATTATTCATAACACCATTTTCAGTTTTTTCTGGACAGCCATCTTTGAAAAAATAAAGAAAATAATAAAGAAAATATATCTTTAAAAAAACTATTTTCATGTATTTTAAAGAAATGAATTTTACGGTTTAACACCATTTTTCCTTTGAAATCTCATGATGAAATACGTAAAAAAAGGATCATAATAAAAACAAAATTATGAATGAAAAAATAAATTAATAAGGAAAAAAAACCGAAAGAATATGATGAAGTTGACGATTTACTCTCATCGATGCATTTACAATTTTTGAATCGTTCCAGCGCTACTTCCAAATTCCAATCATTTTCTAAATTTATTTACATCAATTAATAATGAATAAGTACAATATTATCCAGCAATGATCTAAAAATTCTCTCAAACCATATTTTATAACATGTTGATTTTATGGGTATTTTAAGTACCTCTGTATAAACAAGAAATTTCCATGAAAATTCAGCAATTCAGTATCTGAAATGGCTCCAGAGAAGGAAAACAGATAGAAGTATAATTAAAATATTCTGAATGGAATAAAAAAATAAAAAATAAAGCATTTATTAAAATCTAATTAGAAAAATCAGAAAAAATTAAAAAGAAAATTAGAAATAAGAAAAAGTGGAAAAACTGAAAAATCAATTAAAAATTTTAAAGTTATTTTAAGGTTAAAGTCAATTTAAAAACCGTAAATATTAATATCGATTCAACTTAGCATAATATGTAAATTATTTAAATTTATTTGTTTGAATTTAAATTATAAGCCTTAAAATTTCAGGATTGCAAATTTCGCCAAAATGAATACTGGAGTTTGGGATGGGATTCTGGATAATGTTTGCATTCTGATTAGAGGAATTATAAAAAGTGAAGGGAAAACCTTGCAAATATCCAACAGCGAAATCATTATGGGTATGGGTCTCTTCAATAAATTCGACGATCAACTTCTTTTTTCGCGATGAATCGATCATTTCGAATGAGAGGAATTCTTCATCTGAAAAAAAACCATAAAAAATTTTGGATAAAATACGATAAATCGTGAATATCTGAGGAACTGCCATTCGAGAAACAAGCACCGAGAATAGTGAGTAGGAGTACGTCAGATCAGCTCGCGTAAATTCACGCAGCCCGTTAAATGACTAGCAGGAGACATGCCATAAAACAGGAGACATTTGAAAACGATAGCTCTAACAGTGCATTTCGAGATTTTCCGAGGTGTCCGCAAGAAGAAAGAATGAATTCCACTAATTCCACTAAGAAATTGTAGAAAGAACGGTACAAAGGGAAAGAAAAAGTAAAAATTTGAGAAATAATTTTAAAATAAAATTGGTTAATTAAAATTAGCTTTAAATTTAAAGAATGCGAAAAAGTGGAAGAGACGAAGAGAATTTGAGGAAAAATTTAGGCCGACAAAGCAAAATCAAAAAATTAAACTTTAAAAAAACCAGAAAAATGCCAATTAAAAAATCGATGTACTTCTTGGAAAACATCAAAACTTGCTAGCGTCAACTGCTTTTTAGTAGGAAGATGAATTTCTAACATGCAGCCTGGCCACTCTCATTAGTGGTGTGTGGTCAATGATCTCGTTAACGGTCTTGCCACATTATTGATGGGCATGGTTAGAGAAGATGTTGGTGGTTGTGGTTACAGAACTGGGGCAAATGTCTAAATCGTTAGTCAGTACAAATATTTTCCGGTGACGTCAGCGCTTTCATTCTTAGAGAGAATTCCCTGAAAGTTTGTTTGGCATCGCATTAATATGAATGTGGTACCGAACAGTTACCGAATCCACTCACCACCACGATAAGAGCGTTCAACAAGTTGGAAACTGAATTTCACTTCTAATAATATGATTCGTTATAAAATAAGAATCGAATTCATGCTGCTTATTGCATCCGATGAAATAACTTATCTCTCGACAAACCTCTCCTTGTAATTATGAATTGAATTGAAGCCACTAATGGTTCAGCTAATCATTCACAATCTAAAAATTCTATGAAGGACAAATTTTAAGAAACACCTCAAAACATAATAAAATATAAATATTTTTTTGGTATTTTTAAGTTTGGCCGCTCGCATTCTAAAATAGTGGGACCAGGCAAAATACGGACGAGGGTGAAACACTATTGGAGAAGAATAAGAGATGAACGACATGGTGCTTTGCTGACGCTGTCTCACTCTTCACTAAAATGTGCCTGTTTTTGATTTAATATGTTCGATTAGTTATTTAAGGCGTCAGTTATTACTAAAATTGAGATACCGGCGTGAGGTTCTCCTAAAGTTAGCGGGAAAGGTGAGGTGAGAAAGGGGAAAGGAAAGAGAGGGGGAATAAAAGATGAGAGTTGAGGGGGAGAAAATTTAGAAATAATTGTAAACCCATCATCGGTTTATTATCTACGCAGATGATCATTTAGAACATCCGACTTTAGGTGGCGTCGTTAAAGGTCATTGGCCAGGAATTTGTACCAATGATGCCGTTCGACCACTATATAAGTATAAATAAATACGGAATTAGAAAATAAAAGTTGGCGAAATCAGAAACAGTACCGACATTTATGTTATATTGCAGGTTTTAAGCAAAAAAGGGGTTAACTGTTTAGCGCTCACTATTTCTAGATATTCTGGCTGGTACGCTGACCGTTAGAACGGTTAGGAATTTTCGTCATAGAATTGTCATTTAACAAGAGAAGTGGAGAGGGGTCGCGAACCGCTTGAAATTTCCTTCAACTCCATAAAACTATTTTGGAGAGACAAGCAAAGCAAAAAATCGAAATTAGACAAGTTTCTCTTTCGAGCTCTGTGGAAACAAACCAAGCAGATGTATTATGTAAATAATAATATAATAATAGACACAGCTGAGTAGAGTTTTGCATGAATTTCACCGATATCAAACGAGACAACAAATAAATGATTCTCGATTTAAAATTTAGTCAACCAGTTAGGAAATCTCAAAACGAACATTTAGTCTGCAATAATAAAAGAATGCTTGGTGATAATAACTGAGTTTCAGAAGTGAAAAATCCGTTAATAATAAAAAACTTCGGTTTGCCATAACAAATTTGGCTGGTTCTTAGTAAAATGCGAACAGCACTCAATCTTTTCGATTTGGATCTGCGAACTGTTGCAGGGCAAACGTTTCACCAGAGAGTCATTTGAAGGTAGAACTACAGGTTAATCATGTGGAGTGGCTTCAGCAAAACGAATATATAAACTTTGTCATCGTCATGTCGGCATTTTTCATTTCATTTAATAAAAGTCAAATTTCTGGTAACAATAAGCGAATGATGGAACAAGAACACAAAAAATTTAGGAAAAAGAAATTTTCATAGTTTAAGATTTTAGAATTATTGGTAGAGAAGGAAATGAAGAATGGGCAAAAAATGCGATGGAAACTTATACTTTCCCATATTTGTTATTTGATTAGGAAATGTTTGGGAAAAATTTGGGCAATTAAAATATGAAAAGCTTTATAGAAACCTCAACTCAACGATGGCTTAGGAATATAAGAAAGGAGTTATGCAATTGTTGATCATCTATAGATTTTCCTTAAAAGTTTTCTCTAAAACGAATTTCGAATAAATTCGAGTCAGAATCGAAAATGGTGATATTAAAATGATAAAATCTAATGGCACCGAGATACGAAAAATTGCGTATGACTTTTGAGTCCAAGTTATGTTAAGTATCATTAAAAATAGTGGTTGCGCGAACGATCACCCTTAGTACCATTCCCAAGCGACCCTCTCACAAAATTACATCTTCATCCTGCTTGAAACTCCTATAGTGAATGGTACTTATTCGCTTTCTGTTGCATTAAATTAAAAATATAGATTATTTTCAGGTGCAAAGTAACAAATGTATATTAGTTTTGCGTCCCATCGAAAAATTAATAATTTAATAGTATTACACAACTCATTTACATAATTCTGCGTATCATCCAAATTTATTAGAGGAAATATTTGTTTCTCAAAATAAGCAAGCAATCGGTCATTAAGACTGAAACTGTAACGGTACTGGCGAATCTTTTTACTCGTATTTACACGTGGTTCTCGAGGAGAATGGTTGGTTTTAAGCAAAATTCATAAAAATTATGCGTATAAAACAAAACTTACGGAAAAAAGAAATAAAATACATTAGTGATAATGCTAAATGAAAATTAAAAGTCAAATGCAAAAATAGATCACAGGATCATAAGCATAATTGAAAATGAACGATGATAAAAAATTGTCTGTCGTTTTATAGTCGAGCATAGCCGAGAATGAATTCAAGCACAGCGGATTCGGCTACTTACCAGCAAACTCGCTTCCTCGACCCTCCTCCAGCCACCTCCTTCTTATAAGCCTTCTCAACAAATTCGAAATTCGGTGCTGCTAAAGAAACCAACCACCCTTAAGAATTTTTCAAATATTTAATTTTATATTTATACTTTTTTAAAATTTATTTAAATTTTATTATATAAATTTGTTTAAATTTAAAATTTATATTTTTACTTTATTTAGATTTATACTTAATTGAAATTAATAAATAAATACTTGAAATGTATGATTCCGTGATTTTATGATTTTTTTGATATATGATTTTTTTCTTTTTTCCTAGAAAAATTCCAAGAATTGCGATCGAAATTATTCAATATTATATAACTATATTATATATTATAATTATTCAATATTATATATTAACTATATATAATATATTATATAACTATTATATATTATGATTTATTATTATTAAAACTGTTATAATTTGGACATATAATTTATAATTTATTAATAGAGAATATAAAATGGACGAGAAAAATTTATTTGGTAGATGTGACGACTTCGTCAAAAAAATTGTTTACAATTATTAAATTAAAATATTTCGCGACAAATCAATTTTTGAATTCATTTTATGAATTCTCTTTAGAAAAGTAACTTTTTTGTTATTGTAACTGTCACTGTTCATTTATTATCTTTGCTTCCCATTTGTTACGATAGAAAATTTGTAAAAGTGCCTTAGGGGATTTAGTTCTCTGATAAAAATTCGTTTTAACAAATCTTTTTAATATTTAACAATAATATTTATTAATAAATATAACTTTTATTAATTTCGCCATAAATCAAATAAATAATTTGTCAAAAAAATATATTTTAATTCGTTTCTATTTCATTTATCATCTAACTTTAAAAATTGCATTTTCATAGATTCTAAAGTGATTTCACAAAAAAATTTTAATTTCTCGTGTTTTTTAGAGTTTCGAAATTTCGAAACCCGAAGAATGCATTCATTCAATAAGGAATTATATTAGAAAATAGAATTTATAAGTGCATGAAAGGTGTTCCAGTGATGTGCTTTTTCGAATGAGATTAAGCATTGTGAGTTCCCCCTGACAGCAACAAACTCTCTCATTAAAAGTAAAGATCGGTGATGTTTAAGATCTATTTTAATCCTAAATGGCTCTCTGGTGAAATGTCCTTACCAGCAGTCAGTGCCAATCAGAGCAGTAATGATGTTATTCAGAAGAAAAAGAACAGCAAGAAAATAATGGATCCAGGATCCGTGTACATGGGAATTTTTCGTCAATACTTAAGCCTAATTAAAAATATTATTTCTTTTTATAATAAATTATTTGATGAATTTCAAATCAATAAAACAACCATCAAAAAAATTTCGTATTTTTTCGATTTATTTATTTCGTTAAAATATTTTTTAAAATGGCAAATTGCGGATAATTCTTTGTCAAAATTCTTTTATTTTTGATAAAAATTTAAAAGGAGAAAAATCGTTAATATGTTTATTGTATTATGAAAGAAACTATAATTAAAGAATCCATATGGCGCTGGGGACGCACTTATATCATTCAGTGACTCGCTAGCAAAAACTTCTCATTCTACTAGAGGTTAGGAGAGCGGAAAATGCGTTAGCCACATTATTTTAACAACTAATTGTGATTATTTAAGAGAATATATAATTTTTCAAGGAAAAACTTAAAAAAGGAGATGGTTAGCACTCACCATTTTTGATTAAGCTTCGTTCGTGTTGTTTGTGTTAGAAATTTCTCCCAGAGAACCACTCGGCAGTAGAAGTTTTGATCGATTGATCGCTAGCACTATCTGATCCAGAAAGGAAGTACGAAATTTAACGAAATTATATAAATTATTCTGGAAATTCAGCATCAACTCAATATTTTACATTTGATAAGGTCCAATAAATTGAAAATTTTTTAACTTTTTAAGATTCAGTGACACTCGAAAAGACGAACGCAAATTTTCTGCAAAAATTAGACTGCAAAATCGCTCAAATAAGGGATTCAGAATGGATTCTGACTTAATATTTTTACTACTTTGTTTGATTGCTTCAGATTATATTTAAAAACAAGTAAATAATAAATCTGTTAGCTGTAACGATTGACATTAAAAATGCAAAAAAAGGAAAAATATTTCATGAAGACAATAAATAACGAGGAAAATATATCTAAATATCTAAAAATAGAAAGATTTATAAGGATATTTATATGGATAGAATCATTTTCAAAGCAAGCCGTCGATATCGTGTTAAAATTCATT